GGCATTTCATATCCAGGTTCACTGGATGGCTCTTCTCAGCTCATATATTTTTGTTACTTCTCCTTGATAGATTGGTTACTCTAAAAGGGTTTAGACCGCTTATTGATTCTTTTTCTGTGATGACTGTACAGTCCATAAACTTTGATCTTTATATTACTAATTACATGGAACTGGCTAAAATATAAAGGAATTTTATATAAAGAAACAGCACGAAAGAGCTAACAGATTAGAGGACCAATACAAAACTCTTCTCTTTTTAATCCATTTAAAGTTTAGTAATAGATGTATGAATTGTTATCTGCTACAAAAGGAAGTAAAACATTTTTTCTATGCCAATAGTTATAGGAGCAATTAACCTACAGACATGTCAGTATTGTACACTTTCAAAGTGGGGTAGAACTTCAACTTTCCTCTTTTAGGAATGTATCATTTTAATATTACTAGGAGTAGCAAGAAAATATTAACTGGCCATAGCATCTTTTGAGAAACTGAAATCACTAAGAATCAGATATATGTTGAAATCCTTCAACTTAGTCACTTACAAACAGCCTATTCTGCAAGGCTGCTCACACCGTCTTTTCTGTTCCATTTATTGTACAGCTCAGATTACACTAAAGAGTGGTGTGAAGGCCAGAGGAACATCACAATTTCACCCATATTTTCCAGCATCTGTAATTTTTCCACAGGTGTTGCTACAGGGGCAAAAAGGCTATGACCCTAAGGTCAAGTCAATGGGCATTAAGGTGTTGGTATAACAGAAGGTGCTTAAATAACCATGGTTTGCACATATGGTAAAGAACTGAACAGACACTTCACTTTACTCGGTTAATTCAGAAAGGAGGCGAAGCTGCATTGAAGCGTTATGGGAATTATATTTAAACATGCAACAAACTGTCTTCTCAGACACTTTCTGAAATAAAATCAGTACTTTATGTTCCAAATTAAATCAAAACCACTGCAATCAGTTAAACAAGGAATACAGGACTAGCAAAGGACTAAAACACAAATCTTTATATTGTACCACAAATTAGTTTCAAGATTTGGCTGAAGACTACACAAACAAAAAAAATGTTTGACTCCTTCCAGCTCAGAAATGGTTTTATATGGTAAACCCATTTTTAAAGTGTACAAATTTTCATAAAACTGTTTGCTCCATAAAAATAAAGATTACACATGGTAGAATATCCCAATTTAAAACCTCTATGGCAAGGAGCACCGACTCTTTTTTGAATCCTTCAGTACTCTGCAGTCTTTTAAGATGTTATAGGATATCTTTTTTTCACACAATTGACCTTACTCCATCATTGGCTTGACATTCTCTCTCTCATATATGCTTAATTGGCAGGGTGAAAGGCAAGTAAAAAAAGCTACTTTGACTTCCAACTTTCTCCGAAGTCACAGACTTTCCAAGTAAGTTGGTGCAGTGAAACTGCATTCACTCTAGCACCAGAGTAATAGCCATCTGCACTGTTACCAAGGTTAAATTCCAATGTCACTAGAATTGCATGGAATCTACAAGTCATTCTAAGAGTTTCTGGATCTCTCTTGTAATAGGAAGGAGGGAAGTGTTTTCAAACATACAGAACAGGATTCTACTCATCCACCTCCAAAAGCTACAAAGTGTTTGCAGCCAGTTGTACATACCTAAGAATGGATTAAGACTTGCTATCTCCAGAGTAAGCAGATATAGGAAGAACATTATGGAATTATTAAAGGACACAATGCGTGCTGAGGCAGAAGGAATACTAAACGGCACTAGTATCAAGAAATGAATTATATATTGTATAAGAATTCTTTATTGTGATCTTTTTCCTGTTCTTTGTAAAGTGCTCAGACATTATGGTGATGGATGCAGTATAGAACGCAAGACATTTAGAAATATTTCTAGCTATAAACAAACACTTTCAACAAATGTCTGTTCAATAACAATTTACAGTTAGAATATTCAAAAACAGCCTAAGGAAGTTAGGTGCTCAGCTCCAACTGAAACTCATTAAGAGTTAGGCGCCTAAGTCCCTGAGGATCCTTTGAAAATACCAGCCTACAAACGAAATCAGAAGTCTTACTCCTATCCCTGTTGGGAACAAGAACTGGATTGATGGCACAGCCATATGGTCAACCTGAAGGGTGTACTTTCAGCATTACATTTCACTGGCCAACAGTCAGCTCTTACTGTATTTTTCAGTACTTCAGCTACAAAATCTTTTGAAAACCTGCAAGAAGTAAAAGTGAGGGCATTACTTAGTAAAATGGAAAAAGCTACACTAAAAATGTGAGCATGTATATGTTCATCAAGGATAAGTGCTAGGAGACTGCATGTGCTGTTATATTCAGTAAGTTGACACGCCAGCAACACACAACTAGAAAATCAGCACATACAGTAGAACCTCAAAGTTACGAACACCGTAGTTACGAACTGACCAGTCAATCACACACCTCATTTGGAACCAGAAGTACACAATCAGACAGCAGCAGAGACAAATAAAAAAAGCAAATACAGTACAGTTCTATCTTAAATGTAAAAGTAAAGAGAAAGCAGCATTTTTCTTCTGCATAATACACTTTGAAACTTTACTAAGTCAATTTTTCCGTTGTAAAATTTTGAAAAAAACAGCCATAATGTTTTGTTCAGAGTTATGAACATTTCCGAGTTATGAACAATCTCCATTCCCAAGGTGTTCGTAACTCTGAGGTCCTACTGTATATCTAACAAAGTTGCTTTAGAGCTTTGGACACAAACTCTCTTATGGACTGTCAAAGATGTTACAGTAAATGCAGAGCTAAGACTTCTCAAGCAGGACAGAGGTCATAATTTCTCTCACATACTTGTATACTAATGAATGGTGAGTAGACAAAATAGCAGCTGCTATCCCCAGAGTCTTCTTTTTCTCTCTCATATTGATTTTGTCATTATTTTAAGAAACAGAATGGATGACTTGCGTATTCTTGTTCTTTTGTACAGATTCCTGTTTTTTTTGGGTTTTTTTTGGGAGGACAGCTAGCCCTTGCTTCAGGAGTAATCTCAAGAACTACCAGGATTTTTTTGGTCCCTGGGCCCCTTTAACACAAACAAAAACAAAAAAACACTCATGCAACAAACCAGAAAAGAGAGGTGGGAGTGGAGATAAGTCACCATCGTCCTCAAGTAACAAATTTCTGATCTAAAGTTCCACTGTAAATTTCCTAGGCAAGAAATTGAGGAACAAGTAGATTCCAATTCTTGTGGGAAAGAATATACAGCAGACAGAGATCTCAGTCTATTCTAGGCCTTTTCCTAGACCAGAAAGTCATTTAGATAGCAAACATGTTTCCAGCTAATAAAAGTATGTTGGAACAAGGGCTGAATATGGGATACCAGTCCCAAAAGCAACATTGCCCTGGGAATGCTGCAATCCCCACTTTCCCTAAAATATACAGTGCTATCTTTGGGATATGACCTCTCATTAAAAAAACAAAAACAAAAACAAAAAAACACCATCTCAAATTTTCGGCATTGAGACAGCCTTGCTGCAAGTTCAAGATGGTTTATGAATTGCTTCGGTGCAGATGTACAGGATGAATCTTTGCTCACCTATTTAATTAAACCCTCTCTCCCACATCAGAGTTTTGCAAGTTTGATGGTACTGATTAGGAGAAAGTTTTGAGTAAAGTTCTCCTTAAAGATATATTTATGAAAGGTTTGGGGGGCTGAGGTACTTTCTCTAATTTTGTCAACCAAGGATTCTCTGTATAGGAATTAAACTGCTCCTTAGTGTTAAAAGAAAGACAAAATAAAAAAATAAAAGGGGTTGTAAGGTTGGAGGATTCTGGTAACTGGGTGGAATCAGAATGAGTAGACAGCTCGGCACTGAGTGTACAGCGCCTCCTCTAACACATGGGAGACAAGGTAGAGATGGTTACAGTAGTTAGAAATTGACACATAATTCTCCATACAATTCATAATTTCTTCCTGAACTGGAAACTTTCTCAAAACTTCTGGAAGCTTTGAAAAACCCTTCCAATGCATGCACCAGAGCCAAGCAACTGAGGAACATGGATCTAGGAATAATATCTGACTTTAGAGGTTTCTATTTCATAACAGATGGAGACTTGCAACTGTGCACTTAACTGAGGGCAACTAAAGACTCTCCAGGAGCCTTGGCCAGTACAGTTCCTGCAGGAAATGCATGGCCAAGGGGCAGCACAGAAGTGGGAGGTCAAGTGCTGGAGCAGAAGCTAGGGGGCTGTGGATGGGCAGTCCTCCCCTAGAGAGGGTCTCCAGCAATTTTTCTTTAAAGAGGCTACAGCCCAGCCACTTCTGCTGGTGGGCCAGCACACCTCTCCCCCTTGTGCGTGCGCGCACACACACACACAAAGAATAAAGTGTAAGTAAGGATTTCATGTCCCATCCCCTATATGTAACTAACCTGGCATAAAGAACCATGGTTATAGAAATATTACTAATACAGCAGCAGGTTCATTAGTCTAGAAGACAGCACACTTGTGCGGCAGCTCTAGCTCCACCGTAATTAGGTAAAGTTTCAAGCTACAATATTTAGGAGTAACAAGTCATCTTTTGTCTGTTTCCAGGCACTTCTAGCAATAGGAAAGCAGCAGATACCTGGTGTTAATTAAAACTCATTCAATAAACTGACATCTAACCCTTAAACTGCTAGATTAACTCATTGTGAAGAGTACATTCCTATACACATGAAGCTTACTCATGTAAGAAATATCCACTGTACTAAGATTCTCTCTTATGTAAAGATTGCCACCACAGAAGCTGGCTAAAAATACTGAGACCAGAAGAAAAAAGTCCAATTTCATTCCCTAATGTGTAAGAGGCAATGAGAATACAAAGTCCCATTTGCCCCACAGTATTTTGCAGCATGCTAACACACATTCAAAACAACTCCTGTACTGTAGTGCCAACAGTTAATGACAATATAAAATTAAATCTACATAGTAATGAGATTGTAGGATTCCTTTATAGGTCCTTCTCCACACTACTCCTCTCTTACCTTCAGCTGCCTTGATTAGATATCCACTCTCTTTGCTTGGTGGCACAGCCAGCAGCTGCATGACTCTATCCAGCAACCCATGGATGACCTCAAACCCGGGGTTCTTGTTGTAGTAAATGGCACAGAGATTCCTCTGGTTCCTTGCACCTACATCTGCAGAAGAAACAAACATTTGTACTTCTGGGTTTTGTTATGTGTTTATCCTTCCCATCAGTTTTTACAGTTGTGCACTGAGATATCTGTACCTCAGGGGGAAATTGAGAATGCAGAATGGCCTCTCCCACAGACATCCATCCCAAACTCTGCAGAGTTGATTATAGGCACTAGCACTTTAACTCATAGGTCTCCCATCATTTGGAAAAAAACATGTTGCATAGATTTTAAATACTGTACTTTATTAGGATGGAAAAGGAGAAGAAATGTGGTAAGGAGAAATATCTTGCCAAGTAAACAGCAGAACTCAGTATATTTCCAACATGTTATTAAAAGGTTAAAGGAATTAAAAAGCAGATTAACCAAAATATGTATATTCAACAAGAATCAACAAGATCCTGATACTTAGAATCTATTATTTTTAACATTTACAATTTAACGCTGGTGGTGAAAGTAGATTATTTATCAAACGGGGAGACAGCCTTTTACCAGTATAAAACAAGCCCACTTCTATAAGTAGCCAAAGATAGTTACACTCTCATGGATGTTTGGGGCTCTGTGTGAAGAGAGGTCTAGGTCTAACTCCAAGCAGACAAGTTTCCACATCACAGAAGCCATCCACACAATTGAAACCTTCCTTGGTAGTCCTAGAACCACCAAAGATCAGATGCGAGTGCACTGTATTTTCACATCAGCTTTGAGGACAGGATTGAAATATTGGTGGAGCAGAGACGCTATAGTTATGTGTAGTGCACCTGTTTTATGGATATCAGTCTCAGACTGTCAAATCAAACACCTCACAAGAGCTCAAATGTATATTTTAAAAAGCTTTGTAATTTCCAAAAATTACCATATATCATGTGTTCACACAGCACTAAAACTACAGCAGCCTCCCCCCCTTACTTTAAATTAGTTTTGCTTAGGCTACTCATTTTACCAGAATAATTTGTCATTTTCATGTCACATGGATACATTTTAGACACACAAGTGTATTACAGTATCATTATATTCCTGTGCCTCTCCAGACTAGACCAGGGCAGTGCACTCTGCCTGGGCCTGTCAAAGGTTACTCAGAAGATTCAACTAATGCAGAATCCTGCTTTTTAATTTTTTGAGAGGAAAAGGATAATACATGCGTTCTCACCATCTGTCAATTCACTTATGGTGAAATTCAAGGTACTGGTTAGTATAACAACACCCTGCTGAGGTCTATATTTAGGCTTGGCAGACTTTTTTTTCCTTTAAATATATTTTCAACAGATATCAATGTTTATTTTTAAGCATTTCCCCTATTTTTTATTGATTGCAATTTTCAGTTATGTAAAATGGGTTTTAATTTTTTTATCTTCATCAATTAAAACTTTCAGTTATGGGAAATTATGGGGGGGATGGAAAATATAGGGGATAATCATTTAATGACAGTAGATGTTGAGATTCAAAAAGTTAAAGCTTTATAACCATTAAGATACAAACTGTCAATCTCAAATTTTGAGATAGGCAGAGTAAATGTCCTTAAATCAAACAAATAACTTCTCACACTGCATCTTCCTTACTTTGTCTGTCTGAAATTTCAATCAATCATCGATAGAAATATTTTTTCGTCAATTTCTGTGTGTTTGGTGAAATCAACATTTACCAGCATTTATTAATGAAAATCTAATCCTCCCAAGCCTATCTATAGCCCAGTTCTCAGAAGTCACTTCTCCCCTTATGGTGCATTCAGCAGAAACCCCTTGGCTTGCTGGTTGGCTGTGCCAAAGGTGGGCTTTGCAGAAGTCAGAAAGGGCTCTCTGTGGGCTGGTCTACACTACTGCTTAAGTCGACCTAACTTACATCCCTCGGAGTGTGAAAAAAGACACCCCCGAGTGACACAAGTTACCTAAGCATGTCTACACCAGCTCTATGTCGACAGGAGACGCTCTCCCGCCAACAAAGCTTCAGACTCTCGCGGAGGTGGAATAATTATGCCGATGGGAGAGCTCTCTCCTGTTGGCATAACATGTCTTCACCAGATGTGCTACAGAGGCGCTGCTGCATTGGTGAATAGAATTTGCTCCCAACAAAATACCAGCCAGAGCCTGATCATTTGTACAGCACCACACAAGATGTATGGATTTTTTCAGATTGTAGAGAGTCCTCCAACATTTAGCCTACAGATTAGGTTTTGCTCCCCTCCGAGTCCATCTCTTCTCCCTTAAAGTGGGAGAAGAGGGTTCCCTTAATTCTCCTCCTTTTGGAGAAAATACGTTATGATCCATGTTTTTATAAGCCTCCAAAATTAAAGTTACAGTTATTTATGAAGATGACTCATTTTACTGCAAAATATATTTCATGCTTTTCCCCTCGTGCCTTTCATTCAACATCTGTGTGTAGCCAATGGGAGAGATCATGAGATGCTAGAGACTTCAGAGGAATCACAGAACATCAGGATCTGAGCCTGTTTTCTAACAAACATGGACAACAGAGTTCTCAATATGAAACAAAGCCTGAAAGAAGAAGAGCAGGTAGGGTTACCATAGGTAAAATATTTTTGCACCTGGATGCCCAAATAGCAGCAGTAGGCAGAACTGTATTTTCTAGCCCCTAAGCCCCATCCGCTGACCAAACAACTCTGTCCATTTTTCTCTGATGCAGGCCTAGCAGCAGTGATTCACATATTTATCATTTCTAAATTTGATTAGTGCATACTTCTGTATACTGGGTTGACCCGCTCCACTCTCTACGATGGCTGCCATTCAAATGCCAGGTGCATTCGTAAAGGGATTTGGAACCCCTGTCCGACAGAATTAGGGTTGGGCCTTCGACTGCTCCAAAAATAATTGGTCAATTCAGCAAATTTCGTCAAATAATGTCCAAAAGACATGGCCAAATATTTTAAAAACACTAATTAGAACAGTAACAAGAGTAACAGAAAAGACTAAGACATTATGGTCTCCTGAGGGGTAAGGTAGATACTCATGTCTGATAACAAAAACCTAGTTACTTAACTGAGTTATTTTAACTCCTCAGAAAAATGTAAAACACAATGAAATGAAGTTCTACAAAATGAAAGAATAATTATCTTTTTTAGCAATGTTAGATTAGCATTTAAATGTCAATGTTATTCAAGGCTGAAGAGTTACAAAAAAAGAAAAATTAAACAAATAAAAGAAACCCATAGCAACTATAAAAGAAAAAAGTTATTTTTAAATGCAGTTATGCTAGGTAGGCAGCAGGCCAACTCTTCAAGCATCCTGCTTTTCATTATCTTCTTTTTCTTTATCAGCTTCAACTGCTTCATCTATATCTTTGCATTGATGGCATGGTATACAAATAAAGACATATACAGTGTTTGGCTGGAACCTTCTAGGACAATCAAGATGCTCAACTTTCAATCAGTTTATCTTTTCCCCCAACCGGTGACATGAATGTATAGCAAAGTTAATGATTTAAGACATTTCTGTAGGCTTGCTAACAGACACGACCATACCACAATCAAAAAGGTAGGCCACCGCCTACAACAGGGCATTCTTGATGACACTTGACCATGGACAAATAATGTGTGATCAATTGACCAGCTTGCCAAGCCTAGACAGAATACTAGAAGTTCATGTCTCTTCACCAGATGTTGGGATCAAGGAGCAGCAGCCTCCACACTAGAACCCAGATGAAGCCTGTCAGCCTTTTCCATCCCTTTCTACCCTTACCTCAGTGGAGACTCAGTTGGAGACTAATTTTAACACCATCTTACCAGCCCCAGAGGCCCAGGCTGTCTGGCATGAAGGAGCTGTCCCCTACAATCCTATTTCATCTCTTGGAATGTGAAGATCATCTGTGTCAAGGCCCCCTTAAGCACTTAGATGAAGGGAAGCTTGAAAAATCCCCTAACAGCTGGAGGCTGAGCAATTCAAATAAAATAAAAAAAAACAGCTATTCTCCAAGAGTCCTGATGGGCTCAGGAAAAGTTTCCAAGCTCAGAATCGGGGGTAGCCGTGTTAGTCTGTATCTACAAAAACAGACTGGCACCTTAGGTGGTGGCACCTTAAAGACTAAGAGATTTATTTGGGCATAAGCTTTCGTGAGTAAAAACCTCACTTCTTCGGATGCTCCAAGATCTCTACTGAGCTCAAGTACTAAATAGTACAGAACAAGTAGAGTGAAGAAGGATAAAAATTATTCAAATCTTGGAATACCTACAGTTTGGGTATGACTAAGCTTTTTTCAGGAAATATTTGTCAGCGGTCTCCTCAATAATAGGAGTAGAACCCAGGTGGATTTCATCTCACTCACGTTAGGTGATTCATGAGGACAACATCACTGATAAATCCTCAGGAAATTCGAAGTAGGTCCCTTGGATTTTGGTTTGATCCTGGTACAAGTTATCAAACCACTATTTGAACCTGTTTCTTCAGTGTCATTCTTCTAATACCAAGTAGTAAATCTGGTAGCTATCACATCTGCATGCAGAGTATCTGAGCTGTACTCCACAGATCTCACAAGACACTTTTTTCCTTATTCTAGACCAAGCCTAAACACAACAAAAGAGAAACTCTGCCACATGTTGGACACACTCAGAGTGGTTAATATCGACAAGGCAAGAACTCAGGCATATAGTAAACCTACACCTACTGTACCATCTCCCAGTGAACAACAAAAAAGGCATTTAAAACCATCAGTTACTAGGTGGCTAATGTGCTGCATTAAAGAGGAATACAAAGTACAGGAGTAAAAGCTCACAGGCAAGATCAAAGCTCATCCTTGCAGACCAAAAGTCATTCATGTCTTCAGAAGATATTTACAAAGCAGCAGGCAGATAATCTAGTACCATGTTTGCTAGACTCTATAACAGTGGCTCTCAACCTGCGCCCCAGTCACTACTGCTACAAGCTAGACATGCAGGCCTCTGCAGACACTGCCTTCAGTGAAGGGTACTCTGTTATCCAAGAAGGTTTTAAATACCAGAATTGTCACTTTCAGCTTGTAATAAGTAACTGTGATTTCACTAGGGTTAAATCCCAATGCGGGAATGGCAAACCTAGACAAAACAGATCTGATGCCTGATACATCTAATATTTCTTCTCTGGGTATCCAACGTTTGCCATTCCAACCTAATACTTTCTTCATTTGTATCCCACCTGTCTCTGATGCCTATAACATCATGGTTGTAGGATAACTATAACATCATGGTTGTAGGATAATTTGTATATATATGCTATATATAAACAACTGATAAGAAAACCTTGTTTACTATTTCCTATTCCCTTGGTCTGTTATGTCCTTTGGGAATGCAAGCTTTCTGGAGATACCTTTTTGTACAGTGCTTAGCACATTGTAGGTGCTATTAGAAACCACAGCAACAAAAGTTCGGTTGAATTTTACTTCACAATTACTCAGGTAACTTATGACTTCAAAGGTGGTCATGATAAAAATACTTCAAATTTTCAAAATCACTACAAATCTAACTAATGAGTACATTTTGTGTTCACTCAACCCTTCCAAGTTTTGTAAGTGCTGTAACGCTCAGTTTTTCAGAGAGTCAATACATTACATCACAGGAAATTCATTCACTGCACGATACGGGAAAAAAAGTATTTGGAACTTCATGCCAAAGCTGGGGTTTGTTGGAAATGCCTCAGTTCTTTGTAAATCATTTAAGAGAGGACTTGTGTCATGCCATGAAACAATTCTGTGGGCCTGCCAAATATGTCAGCCTAAATTATATATGTATTTCACCGACTTCAAAGCACTGCCTGGAGATGCTGCTCTAAAATAACTTAAAGTATGGGCAGCTGGGTAGGACTTTGCAAGCCAAAACAACATAATGAAAGATAGAACAGCGGTGCATGCTGCCCCCTAGTAACTTAAAGGGGTTTAGAAAAGATGGGATTTTGAAAGAGTACACCTGCTCAGTTAAACACTAGTCTCACAATCGATGAATTTCACAGAAATCCGCATTTTTTATATAATTACAGTAAGGCCTGCAAGAAAATGCACAGAAACAACTTCAACTGCATTTGCAATTTCTCTCAACCATGTTAGAGGCAGACTACTGCATACTTGCAAAATTCTACTAGGTCATTGGTCAGAGAACTTTTTGAGGGGGTAAAATGTATATTTTCATCATGGTTAGGGAGGATGTGAGGTTTCTGTGACTGGTCTAACCTGATTTCTAGGCTGCAACAACACAGTAATAGCACTAGAGAACACTTTATCAACCTAACAATAAGACCAACCCGCAAGCCAATATTCTATGCAACTCTGCAGAGGGTGCACAGCCCTGTGCGACACATACTCCAACCCTGCATTCTCTCTCTCTCATCCTTTGAGAAGGAAACTTTTGAGTCAGATTTGGATTTATTTTTATTAAATCTGGCATGCATTTTCCAAATTTAGTAAGTCAAAATCTATGTCTGATATGTGAGGAAGAGAAGCATGTTTTGTTCACCTTAGTAAAGGTGAGATGCGTGCAAAAAATATTTTTATTAAAGAACAATGCATTTATACAGCTATATTCATTCACATACAAATGACTACTTCACATTCGGTGAGTGTCAGTGCTCTTCTGATCCATACTTTTTAAATTACTTGGAAATTTTGCATGCCAAAAATATGAAATAGTAAAATTAAGTTAGTCAGAAAGATAACATAAGCGTCCTACAGGGAATCTCATTCCATATGTGAAAACAGGACAACCCCATATTGTTTAATGTCTAAAGGACTGTTGCTGGTTTCTCATTCCTTTGAAACTATGAATTTCGGCACATTTAGATTTAAGGCCCAAAAATTTATCTGGGAAAGACAGTTAGCAGATTTACTGAAAATATATATACCAAAAAACAATTTTATTATTTGTATTCTGGTAATTCTCAAACTGTACCGGGCACTGTGCAAATTACAGAGGAATACAAAGCCCTTAGCTCAAAGAACTTATCTTTAATCTACAGCAATGATTACTGCTAAACTTGAAGTACACTGTAAGAGTAGGCTTTTATAACACAGTTAAGTGGAAGCTTAAAAAAATCTACAGTGAGAACCCATGAAATAACAGTAATTTATTTAACTAGTACATTTCATGCAGCCAGAAGGAATGCTCTCTTCCCTCCAACATAAATAACCCCTACACCAGTTATGAAGACTGCTAAAGCTATTCTGCCATCTGTACCATGTTTTGTGCATGCTGGCAGCCTCCCTGCCCAACAAGTAATGAGTTTGGATCACCAAACTGTCTGCATTTAATAAAAAGTCTGCATGCTCTGCTAAAATTGCTTATTTTTCCTGGCAATTTTTTTAAAGTAATCCACAAATTAAGTCCATCAACAAAGCAATTTACTTGCTGTTTTGTTTACGTCTTATGTAAACCTTTGTTTCATAGACACCAAGTAAGTTAAGCACAGCAGTAAAAGCTGAAACCATATAACACACACAGAAGCACTCACTTCTGCTACTGTATTTAAGGTAGTGTAAGCATTTTTCATCATGAAGTGGCAGAAATTTGCTCCAGGGTTGCAACTCAGCACAGAAGGTCTTGCCAGCAGAGAAATAGATCTATATACACACTCTTCCTCACCAAGCCACCATGTGAAGAAAAACTGATTCAGTAATGTGTTAGATTTCTTTTTTCTTTTTCTTTTCTTTTTTTTACAGTTTAGTTTTTTTTCCCCCCCTTACAGCACTTTTATATATTTTCCAAATAAAAATTATGTTGTTTTAGGCCCCGATCCAAGAGTCAGACCCCTACAACCAGGCAGAATCCCATTAAAATCCTTGAAACATGGACTGTCTGCTTTGTCTATTTAAAATATAACCGAACTAAGACTGCAGCTTGATACTAAAGGAGATATGTTTATCTCAGCACGTTGCATAAAATGGGAACATACTCTCAAGAAGATGATCTGATAGATGTGTGGGAATTTTAGAACACCAAGTTTTTTTTTTTTTTTGCACATGGACTTGCCCCAGTCTTCACCAAGAAACAGCAATTCACTTGCAAGGGGAGGGTGTGCACAGGCCCAGTATTGATCTAACATAGGTTACAGATCTATTACAATGGTAAAGGAGCCATTAGCTATTGAGTGAGGGAGGTGTCACAAAATGAAGAGTACTTAAACATACAAATCTGTCAAGTCAGATAATCATTGTTTACTAAGCTCCTAAAAGGAAAAAAAGTTACTTATAATTCTACAGATTTGATGGTATTATCCTATAGGATTCTCTCCTATGTCTCATGCTCCCAGTACAGGTCCACCTGGGCCTCAAATATGAGTAGTTCAGCACGTGACATCTCCCCACCTCCCACCGGGATCTCAGCACCAACAAAGGCTGTCCCAGGTTGAGATGTGCAATAGAGATTTAAAAATACTATTGCAATCATCAAACCCAACTTCTGTAGCATGGTCTGAGCTGTCGAGTGATGAGTGACAAATTCTCACTGGCAAACTTACTATGCGCTGGGGCAAGGCGGCTATGAGTTGAGCTTTTCTTATAGATCTCTGACCTACTTAGTCTCTATGGGGGACAAGTCAAGACTTTGGAATCACTTGATTTAGGTGCCTAGTGAGTTTTTCAAAAGTGCACAGGAACCTAACACCCATTGATTTCAGTGCGTTAGGCACCTATCTGCATGCTGCCTAAATACCATTAAAAATCTGGCCTTTGGAGCAAGGGTGCTGTGAGCATGAGCTAAGTGAGAATGAATTCTGTAGCGAAATATTTTTGATGAGCAGAGATTTACCCACTATTACTATTTATCAAGTAAATAAGCATTTCTTGAGAGGCACTTGCCCATGAAGTTGGGTACAGTAGAGATTCCCTGAAGGACATAGGCTAAAACCGCTAATGGGTTGGACATTATAAAAATTAAAATCACTAACACTGTAGGACCTGTTTTAATAGAAAGAGAAAAACAATTATCAAAGTAGCACCTCTTAAAACGGAGCAACTTAAAATAGAGCAGGCCAGGGTTCTTTCAGATAATCATGAATCCTTGCACAGAGGATATTAAAACTCTTGTGTGCTCAATGGGGTTCTCTTACCTTTGGTGGAATCTTTTACAACAATGTCAGAGATTTCAAAAAGTTTCAGAGGCAAAGGCATCTTTCTATTAGCAGCAATGGTCTTCAGGAGGCCAGGCAAGAGGCTGGTGCGTGCCACCTACAGGTCAAACATGAAATTACATGTGTTAAACAACCTGCCAGGTTGTTTAGGTTCCTTATCTTTTCTGGGTTTGCTTATTTGGAATTAGTTTTAAAATAGCCCGGTGAAATAATGCAGTAATTTCAGATGTTTATCGCTCTCTGTTTTAGAATTATTAAACCTGAAAATGTAGATATCTTGCACTTACTGCCCAAGGATCTCAAAGTATCTTATGAATATGCATGAACATTCATATCTACATTTTGCATGGGAAACCGAGGCACGGAGCACTTCAGAGGCGTTTCTGAGTTTGTACAGCACATCCATGACACAGGAAGGGAAAAGGTGGCAGCCAGGTACGCAGGGAAGTTAAAATACGTGTTTAAACTCAATTTTGAAATTTGGATTTAAGCTGATGAGGGCATAAATATATGAAGTTTAAATGTATAAAGACAATTCCTGTTGATACAGAAGGTAAATCCTAAGGTGACTTCTGAACAGGCATCCATAGGCCTGCTGGGACTATCAATAGAACAGGTGATATTGTAAGATACTGCACTGTAATATGCTTAAAATATGTGAAGAGACTACAGTAATGGATAGCCAGAAACACCTAGGATAGATACACAAAGAAACAAACATCATGTACTCACATTAGTGTTTTTTCAAATGCAATTCACCCACATTTACTGTGCCCTGCCTTCAAATGCCGTCTTAATAAAGTGCCCCAGTTTTCGGATTGGCTCAGTGGGACTAGACTTTCCACTAGAATTTACAAATCATGGAAACACTTAAAGCCTGACTTTACTAACCTAGATTTTGAGTGAAACTCAATCTTTCTGTTGAATTTTGGATTCTGCAACTACTCTAGATTCTGCTGATACAAATGGACATTTAGAGATTTAAGATTTAAAGGTGGAAATTACTGTAACAAAACAGGGCCCAATTTTGTCACCCCTAATCCCATTGCGTAGTACCTCATTCCACTAAATTTAAATAGTTTAAAATATTACTAAGTATAAGGGGGATTGAATTGGGCCCTCAGAAGAAACTGCAAGCCACTGTATTTTACATGCGCATAATCTCTCTATTGACTTCTAACTGCATTAAAAGTGGCCACCACATTTTATGTATTTTCTTTCCTTTTGATATTTAAGTTCCTTCCCAAATTGCAGGCTTTAAATGTATTTTTGTAATGTTATCTTGCTGATTGGTAACTACCCTCTCAGATGTTTAGGGAAGCTGGTAGTGCAACAATTAGACCTGAAATTAAACGACTCACCTGAAATTCTGCTGTTTTGGGATTAGCTATGTGTACTGCTTTCGTTGAAGAGATGTCCACACCAAGTTTATCAGCAATATCTTCTTGGGAACACTGAGGGGAGAAAACAACAACACAGTTAAATGGTTAAAATATACAGAGAACCATGACAGAACTTGATACCAAGAACAAACAATGCAAGATCAGCAATAGCTCTGCTGCCCCTTAACATGACCCTCTGATCGGCAATACTCACTTGTAAGCACAAAAGAAAAAGTGAGGAATGAAGCCTCAGCCTTATATCTAAGTGGGCTGGCTTATTTATGCATCAATTACTAACCAAAATAATGCTAGATTAACAGGAAAAGGAAAGAGTGTGTTAGCTTTTATCATGGGTAATTCTCTATTTTTAAAATAAGGGGACAAATTCTTCCACTCTGATTTCCACTGAATAGTAACTTCCTGTGCAAGTAGTCCCAGTGGAATCAGTCCTACACTGAGCCTTCAAACAGAGAAAACAATCCCACTGGGACTACAGTACTTGCAGAATAAGGTACTACTGTGCATTGATAAGCGTTACACTATCATGGCTCCATTAGGCTCTCAAGGTATCTTTAAAAAGCTCGTTACTAAAATAGTACAAGTGACCTATTGAGCTCACTGATCATTTGTGCACACTGAGTGACAGAAACTACCATTAAGGCCATGCCTACACTTACAAGTTTACAGCAGCACAGCTGTACCAATACAGCTGTACTGCTATAAGAACACTCCGGTAGCCGCGTTACGTCGACAGGAGAGAGCTCTTCCGTCAACATAATAAAACCAGCTCATCGAGCGGCGGTAGCTATGTCAGCAGGAGACTCTCCCACCAACAAGCGCTTATGCCAACAAAACTTGTGTCGCTCGGGGTGTGTTTTTTCACACCCCCTGAGCAATAAAAGTTTTGCAGACATAAATGCTAGTGTAGACATGGCCTAAGATTCACAGTCTAGATTTCCAGAATTTATAGCTCTACTAATGCATTCGGAAACTGATACATGAACACTGCATGTAATTGAGGATTTGCCAGTATTCTGCTATCCTCCCAAGTGTTCTATTTGTGTTGGCAGTGCTCCAAAAGGGGTGCTGATTGATCAAATGTGAGCAAAATTAGCAACTGACCCCTATCGGAAAGAGTGGGCTTCTGAATGGAAAAAAAAAAGTGATCTTCAATTATTGCTGACCTTAGCAGGAATTTTTTATGATCAGGTGTTTTCAGATGTCTAGCTAAACTGTTAGCTGACTATGGCATGACTGATTACACACCTGCTAAATCATACAGAACTCAATGTTACTCTTTTGAAGCTATCGTTTTGGGCTCAAACCAAAGACTGGATTACATGTGAGACTGACTAATGGACATTTCTCATCCAAAATGTAACATGAGGTTGTGGAATGGTGCAGCATGTATGACACAAACTATAGGTGTGTTTCATATCTGTGTTTTAAGAACCTGGCAGTGATGTGCCAGAGCTCAGATATCAATGCCACAGCAGAAACACAGATGTGCAACACACATGACACGATGCTGCAATTCATAAAGATCAGATAACATGTACTGCTTGGATGCATATAAATTCAGCATTTTGAGCATCCCAGTTATTTGATGTTAAGAACACTGAAGAGACATTCATTGAATTAATACATGAACAAAATCTGTGAAAGCTTTGAACACAGAAACACATATTGTACTGCCCCTATCAGGGCCGGCTCCAGGCACCAGCTTGTCAAGCAGGTGCTTGGGGCGGCCATTCCGGAGAGGGGCAGCACGTCCAGGTATTCGGCGGCAATTCGGCGGACGGTCCCTCACTCCGCCTCAGAGCGAAGGACCTCCCGCCGAATTGCTGGCACAGATTGCGACCTTTTTTTCTTTTTTGGCTGCTTGGGGCGGCCAAAACCCTGGAGCCGGCCCTGGCCCCTATCATTATACCACTACAGATAATTTTACTACATTGCATATTGGTATAGTGAGAAATAACTGGTAGCTATTATCCTGGATAGTCCACTGGGATTGTGGACTAGTTAGATGGGCCAAAGTTGAAAAAAATCACATCTGAACCTCCTGGAAGTCAGGAGACAGTTTGAAGCCAATTTTATAGTTTTACATTATCCCATTACATTAGGACGGGGTGGGCAAACTACGGCCTGCGGGCTGGATCCAGCCCCTCAGGGCTTTGGATCCAGCCCGCGGGATTGCCACCCCTGTGGTGCTGCGGGCCCCGCACCACTCCCAAAAGTGGCTGACACGACGTCCCTGCGGCACCGGTGTGGGTGTGTGTGGGGGGGAAGGGGCGCGAGGGCTCCGTGCACTGCCCTCGCCTACAGACACCACCCACTGCAGCTCCCATTGGCCGGGAACGGGGGACCGCAGCCAATGGGAGCTTCGGAGGAGGCACCCACAGGCAAGGGCAGCACGTAGAGCTCTCTGTCCCACCCCAAGGACGTGGTTCCGGACACTTCCGGGGGCGACGCGGGGCCAGGGCAGGCAGGCAGGGAGCCTGCTCTGGCCCCAGTGCGCGCCGCTGCCACCCCGGACCCGCTTCAGGTAAGCAGCACCGGTCTGGAGCCCGCACCCCTCCTACACCCCAACTCCCTGCCACACCTCTCCTGTACCCCAACCCCCGCCACACCTCCTGCACCCCAACCCCGTGTCCTGAGCTCCCTCCAACAATCCACACCCCTCCCTGCACCCCAACTACCTGTCCTGAGCCCCCTTCCACAATCCACACCCCTCTCTGCACCCCTGCCCTGAACCCTCCCTGCACTCCGCACCCCTACCCCCCACCCTGAGCCCTCTCATACATCCCGCATCCCTCCTCTGTCCCAATCCCTTGCCTTAAGCCCCTTCCTGCACCCTGCACTCCCTCCCACACCCCAACCCCCTGCCCCAGCCCTGCATGCAATTGCCCCACCCAGATGTGGCCCTCGAGCCAAAAAGTTTGCCCATCCCTGCATTAGGATTATGGTATTTGGTTTCAAAGGGTAAAATTTTCAAAGACACTTAAGTGCTGTAGGAGCCTAAATCCAATTAAAAGTCAGTGTCATAAGCCACTTAGAAGATTTTGAAAATATTATCCAAATATTAACTGTGAATCAGATGATAGTCTCTGAAAGGAGGATGAGTGTACTTTCAGGGTGCATGTGTGCAAGTGTGTGTATTTTTTGCACCACATACAGGGTCAGCTATTAGTTATATAAATCTCATGCATTTCTGAAAATCCTTTCTACATCTAGATCTACTCAAATCCAAAGGCACAATCTGGTACAAATTCTGTGGCCACATTAGCACGTGGGGACCTGTCATTATGTTCACCCAAGAACTTACTTAGCATACTAAACATTGTTTTAAAATCTATTCTGAAGAATTGTTGTGCATTGATAATATCTGATTTGCTAAACTAAATAGGGTCATGTACATTTAATATTTTTTTAAAACATATATTAGTCTGTATTATCAACTAATTGTCTGCACAATTCCAGTTTTCAAAACTACACTAACTGCAGTTACGGACATAACTGTGGTAAGAAGTACTCTCTGCTGTGAAACCCTGATCCCTTGCAAGGGTCTGAGTACTACTATAACAACTATAACAGTCTATATCTGCGCAGGAAGCTGGAAGTGAGACTGTTGTACGGGGACATAAAAGTACAATTAATGCATAATTTATACTTTTTAAAATGCTTTTAAAAGATCTGTAAAAAAAAATTTGCTGACTGAGGCTCTGCATACCACTATTACAGCTCAAGCAGGCATCCACAGACAAGTTACAATACCCAAGAAAGGGTTCAGAATGGAATGGCTGTGAACTCTGAACTGCAGTGTTATGTATGGGGTATCACTATTCATTTTGTTTCCACATTATTAAACTGTAACCAAATACATTTTGTTTGTTATTAAACTCTGGCAATCTTGAGAAACAGTCTGACAGTCTTCTAACTCAGTACTATTCATATTAAGTGAAACTTAAAACAGTCCATTTCAGCATCCATATTTCAAATATATGCCAGTCAGCAATTCAATTCCTCTGAGGACACGAGCTCACACAACACACATTACATTGTAATACCAAAACATTAGCAAACAAGCATGTCCCAAAACAAGATCACAACATTTGCTGCATTTACACTGCATGACACTGTAAGACTATTATGTTCTGATTTGGCTCCCTAATTGTTTCAGCATATAACCAAAAAATCCCAAAGTTAATAAAATGTACCAGTGCAAAAGTGAGTGCTTCAGTGAATCCAGCAGCTGCCAAGTCCTGTCTCAGAAGTTCTGTGAGCTTATTGAGAGGAAACTAAAAGAAAACAAGACAGTTTAAATCTTCAATCTGAAAATATTTATGATGCTTTTCCTGGATAATTCTGCGTGTTACATTACAAAGAATATTGCTAGTAAGGTTGCTTGCATGCTTTAAAAACAACAACAATTACAACAAAAAGCATCAATCTCCCAATTAAAGATTTAATATCAGGTCCACGCTTAAACCCGGTCTTTTTTCCAAGCACCAACCACCACTGGTCTTGGCTCTACTCAGATCAGTTGGGCATATGTTTTGTATCCAATCCAATTTGCCTCACAGCAAAGCATGTCCAAATATTGTTTAATTCTTTGGCTCTGTTTTTCTCAAAACCCTTCTGGCATACACTAATCATTTACTGACAATATAGAGGATTTATTTATGGGGACACTCTTACTTGATTGGCTATGGTGTAAGTTTTTGGAATAGTCATCTGAATGTTGTTATAACCATAAGCTATTGCTGCATCTTCTATGATATCACATGCATGGATAATGTCCGCTCTGGTAGGAGGGATTTCAATTTCTATACTGTTCCCATTCCCTGTGACATGTGACTTCAAACACATCCTGGTCAGCAGCTTTGCAAGACTTGATGGTGTTTCACTAAAACAAGACAACAGAGTCAGTATTTGGGGACTTTTACATCACATTGATTAGCTTTTAAATAAGATACTACCTTTAATTTGCACAATGCCTTCCATGCTAAAGAATCTCAAAGTATTTTTAAACTGTATACATATCTATCACCTATCAGTGCCACCTCTGAGATAAAACATGACAATTCTCTAGCAAGCAAGACTACACAATAATTATAGGAGGGAATGAAGAATCACTCACTTAGTTGAAGGGCATCTTTAGGTAGCTGATATAATTACTCAAGTTAGCATATCAGTTTTTAGTGCATTCTAAAATTCAACTGAACACACAATATATAAGTTATAAAAATATCACAATAACCGGTGTATTTTACCACAGCTCATTAATTTCAATTAAATTAATAAAAGATAGGTTTGCATAACATACCTGATTCCAATTTTCTTGTTTATTAAATCAGGTTTCACTTTTTCTCTTCGGTAGGCCAGTTCCTACAAGGGGGAAAAAAGGTTTACGCAGAATATTACACAGAAAGTTACATTTGTGTCTACTAAGATCCATCTTTCTAATCCAACTTCTTCTGACAGCACTGACAGCCACAGAAGAGAAGTCTGTAATGCGGGGTTGGGCATAATATTGTAGAATAACCATAATATACTTTAAACAAACAACATCCTGATATGCTACAATAAAGTTACTTTTAGTTAAGATGTAAGTTTAGAAGCACCTTGAAATGTCTTTCAAGTGAACATTTGACAAAGAGAATACCACAAACAAAGCACTGACACAATTAATGGTCATGCATGGGAGCTCAGGTTCCTGGAACTGACTTTGGAATTCTGCTTCTGGGAGTAGGACAAATCAAACTACCAGGAAGGTAGCAATTCCTGACACCTTGAGCAGAGCAAAGAGATGACAGAATTCTCTCTTCCTTGTTTTACCAGATGTATAAATCAGATCAGGCATAGGCTTCTGTAAAACTCAATGCAGCTCTTGCAGCCACAGAAAGCAACAGGAAAACACACACACAAACCAAAAAATAAAACAAGACCCTGTGATAAATTTGTTAGTAAAACTGTTTAAATACCAAACAAACCCTCCTAAACAGTTGCCTCAAGAGGGAAAAGGTGAGTTAGTTCTTTTTTTGCTGTATAAAGGCCTGGAAACTTTGGGGGTTAAAGGTTTTTGTTCTGCTTTAGAAATATCTGGAATGATGTCTGGCTTTCTCCATTTTGCTAGAAGTTTGACCCAGGGATGTAGCTACTGGATCTTTAATTTGAAGGGGAGAGATTTGGAGAGGTTTCTCTCTCCTCCCCCCTCCCGTTCATTTACTGCACTGAGTCAAAATGACATCATCAAAACAAAAGATACCAATATAGCACTATAAGAAGTCTGAATCTAAATAAAAGTCACTTCCCGTCTCAATTAACCAAATTTCACTTGCTTGATATCTATGCTAAGCCTAACTAGATCACCAGTTGTCCACAGCTGCTTTCAGGAAAAACGTGGGATCATTTCCATTCTGCTTATTTTTAACAAAGCAAAAAAAGCACTAGCTATCACCCTAATCCTGCAGAGACATCCATGGGTGGGCACCCGAGCACATGCAGAGCCCCTCTGAAGTCACTGTGCAGGCATCTGCCCATGGGCAGTTCCTTGTATGATTGGAGCTTTCAAGAGCAAAAGGACCAAAAAAGCAACATTAAAGTTATTTAACTGAAAGGCATCAAAAACTTTCCAGATCTGATAAATCAAAAAAGTTAAGCCAAGGATGATATCAATTGCCCATCTGTTTATAGTGGGGGACAGCTGTGGGGGGGGGGGGAAGGGGGGGAACTTCAAGCTAAGCAATGATTGCAGGAAAAAGCAAGTTCTATGGGCTTTTGACCTAGATTACATGCCTTGATTGTAGCTATACTTACTACTGAATCAGGCATAATATATTTCAAATGAGTTCTAAGCTACAGCAGTGACCTCAAACCCATTTCAAACCTTCCCCTTCTTTTGGGATATCAGACTACTTTAGCAGTCCTACATTTTTAGCTTTGACAGAAATGGAATGTTTACAGGGAAAAGGCTAGTGGGATTGCAAGAAATGAGGACTGTGTCACTCTCTTTTACCAAACCCTCATGGGTATAGAAATCCATTTCCCCCCGTCATCTCTAGAATACTTACTGGATAGATGCAGGTTTTTCCATTATGGTAAGTTACTTCTGCTGCTTCAACACTGAGGGGGGAAAAAGTCAAAGTGTGTAAAATGTGGGATTTGACCAACAAATCTGATCTCATTGACAGTAAAGGATTATACTACTCACGTGAATTGCTTCTCACAATATTCACTAAACATTGTGACTAAGATATCGAGGACAATTTTTGCCTACAAGAATAAAGAAACACAACCACATTAAAATCTATGGGTTCTGCTATTTATTTTAAATGATGCAAAATATCATTTTCTTTGTCATGCTTCAGATGTTTAACTTAGAACAGAGTGAACACTGCTCTGTTTATTCCTTTTACAACAAAATGGAAATCTAGAATGCAAAATACAACTTTACATCTCATGGGTCACATTCAATTAAAAGAAAAAAAATCTTTGGCTTCTGTAACAAAGTCATCCCTTCAAAGACATGAAAAATGGAAGGCTTTGGATGGCACTGAAGTAGACTCAGATTTTAGCTAAATTCAGCTCCCAAAGACATGAGAGCCATTATTACAATATGGGTCTGGATCTTGCAAAGACTTACTCTAATGAGCAGTCCCACTGAAGTTAAAAGAAGAAAGAGTTTATAAGCTCTAGGACTGTGCATTATCTGTAAAAAAACAGGATCAGATCAACCTAAACTGTAAAATCTGTTTTTTGAGGAGGATATTTTGAGAAGTTAGTGTAACAAATGAGTCATAAGATTCAAATCAGTTTCTGTGAGATCTCAAAAAACCTATTTAGCCTGAGGCAGACATTTTCTTTACACATACTGAACAACATCCATTTTAATGTTCATAAGTTGTAAAGAAGTAAAAAAAAAGCACAATAAAGGTGTTTATTGTTGGGATTCCCTCCAAGACCTCTTTCCATTCAACTTCCCAAGAACTCAGTTCGATTCCAGACTTTGTCACTCAAGTAATTTTATTTATCATACAGCAATGCTAGACTGAGTTGATCAGACTCAAATGCATGGGGTGATGGATGCAGGATACATCACAGCTCCAAAGTTGCACAGAAACCCTCTCCCTTTATATACATTACACATCTCATTGTATTTATTATACATTGCATCACATGTTTTTGTCTTGGCTTGGTTACTTTGCAGCATGCATTGTCCATGGTTCGACTTCTTCTTTACCTCATCTTCACATTTCTAACTTATTTTGTCCTTGTTATCTAGTTCATAGTAAATAGTTCCATGGGTCTTCTCCCTCTTCCGAGCTGGCTCAGACATTCTGTCTTCTTAGCCTGCTGACCTATGCACTTATCTTATTTAGCACAAACACACTGTTTTCAACCTGATGATTCATTAGCTTCCCTAATTCTATCTTCCAAAAATGAGGCCTCCCTCAATGTGTTAATTATATTTATCAGCCTTGACAATGCCCTCCCAACACACAAAAATCTATTTTAACCCTTGAAGTATATGGATTAATTTTAAAAGTGTTCTTGCTTTTACAAAGCATAAGTTAGACTCTGCCAAAATTCTCAAAGGAGTGAATGTGCATCCACAAAAGTTGCTTGGACTTGCAATTACCAAAATTGGCAGGGAAAAGCTGCCTTTGGGTTGACACAATGAGAACTGTACCCCTACTAAGAAGTGTACTCATGTTTGGAAACTTGGTCTTTAATTTCATATGACTCTCTCTCTCTTTAAACAAATTAGAATAGAATTATCAAGAAGAAAGGCATCCCCAAGAAGTTTTATTGCTAAGAGGTCAAGGGGAAAATGATTCTTTGTAAAGAGAACTCTGCTAATATATAATAATCAAGGTATTTTTCACTTTTCAGAGCTGTTCAAGCACAGAACAACTATCAACAAGAAAGAGTATTTAATCTGAATTACTCTCAAATTGAACACTCAGTATCCATGCAGGAATAAATATTCCTGGCCCTGAACAAATAGAACTAGAAACATTTTTAAAAATGTAAGTTATCCCCAGAGCAGTCATAAAAATGAAGCAGGAGGAGCTGGTTAATACACTCCCCAAATGGCCCCTCAACTTTTCCTGCTCCAAAATGTATAATATATGCCAATCTACAGTATTTGTTTGCACGATGGTCCTGTTACCCCAAAAGAAAACAGCTACATGTACAACATATATGACAGCATATCAAAGACAGTAAGGCTTCATTTACCTTTGTAATATCAGTGGCTGTGCATTCAACAAACACATTTCTGGTATTTAGGCTTATTTTTGTATGGTCTCCTACAATAAAAAAAATACACGCACACATATTAAAAGATGCTAGCATAGTTCTTAGAACATCACATATTGATTCACCTTATTCATAATCCCGTGACATTGCTGCTGTCTTCCATTGGCCAGAAAGTCACTTTTCCTACTGCACCAACAGCTCTTAAATAGAAAATTTGAGTCTCCTCTCATAAATCAAGAGGTAAGAGTGAAGGCATAATAGCAGTGATACACCGTCTTGTGTGGAAAATTGGGGTCCAAAGTGAACTTGGGATACTCATTTCTGGGAGGTTGCATGGGTCTGTGGGTGCTATGAAGGCAATATCAGCCTCCAGTCAGGGAAGGCAAAATAGCAAAACAATGCCCACCTCGTGGTCATAACTAGCATTGCACTCTCAGAGGATGTGGTTTGCTCTCCTTGCTCTAGCAAGTGCCAACATCATGATTGTGGCTTATTAGGCTGCAGGGTTAGGAAAGCACCCCTGAATAAAGAGACTGAACATTTTTAAAACATCACTCAGATTGACAAATAGCCTAAGGATAGGTCTATACTTGTGGAGATGTGTAGAGTACAGAAATTGCACATGCAGCTAACATGGATATAAAGAGCAGTGTAGACAGTAAGGCATTGCTTCGATGAACCAAGCAGAGACAAGCTTGAACCTTAGCATATAGACCCTTCATGGCTCTCTACACACCAAGCAGTGCTTCCCACATGTACACTGCTATTTTTAGCAGTGTAGAGTCCCCCTGCTGGAGCCTTTCCCTGCTGCAGTGAAAGACTTCGGCAGCAGAGAAAAACTCTGGCAGTGAGGAGGCAGCGGTGAAAGGCTCAGCAGCGACCTGCTGCCACAGCCTTTCCCATTTCTCCCACCCTGCTGGAGCCTTTCACTGCCACGTGTAGCTACGCAACTGGTCTTTCACTGGGGTTTGTAGCTTCACATACCCAACATGCCTCCACAAGTGTAGGCAAGGTCTAAGTCACTACTCCGAAGAACTGAGGGCTTTTTCTCGACATGCCCTAGGTAAAGCCTAATGGGAAGCACATTGGGATACACAGGGTCTTCCCTGCTTTAAAATAAGAGAGAGAAAACAAACAGCCCATATCTAAACCAAAGACATTGGTCAATATTTACTTATCAGTCTAGTGGTCAGACACTTCTTGTGAAAATTCAATAACCTTACCCACCTTTGCCCCTCCCCCAAAACTGCCTCATGTGGAGAGAAAGGAAAGCCCACTAGTTAGAACACCAGCCTGGGACCTGGAAGACCTGGGTTCAATTCCTTGTTCTGTTATAGACTTCCTGTGTGACCTTGATCAAGTCTGTGTCTAAGTTCCCCTTCGGGGGAGGGAGGGGAGAATAGCACTGACCTACCTCTGGTGAGAGGAGAAATATGTAAAAATTTTGTGAGTGCTCAGATCCCATGGTAATGAGAGCTATATAACATGGATAGCAGAACACTGACAAGACAGGCTTCAAGAAGAAAGAATTGGTTACTGGGGTCTTGAGGGGGGGTTGTTGTTTTTGGCCAATTCACTGTTTGAAGGATCCCAACTTGCAGCACAAAAGCTAAAAAAGAGCAAGTAAAATTTTGGAGCTCTCTCAGACTGATATAAAGGATTTGAAGTTTCCACAATGCAGAGAGTGCCATGGCCAAAGCACACAATTTCTCCCCAGAAAGGCTATGAATTTAATTTGTGAATATTACAGGAACAGCACCAAAACTCCAGAAAAACTGATGTCCCATGGTTAGTTATAAGTCGTGTGTGTGGCCCCATTCCTCAGAATGAGGTCATGTTAAGAAGTGAGGAGGATCGAGGAGTTACACATCAGTGTATCTTGTGATCCCTTTACCAAATTGCCTCCGTCATGCCCCCTGCACACTGAATACACTCAATTGTTCTAGGATCAGTTCAAGGCAAATATAACATCACGTTGCAATCAGACCTGGGTGGAAAACAGTTTTCCCATCCCACAAAAAGTTTTGAGATTTCAAAAATGTTCCCATTCCATATCAGGATAAACCTGAAACCTTTTGAATTTTTTTGTGATAAACCAGAGAGAAATCCACCCTACAACAGCCAGTTGCTAGGGCACTCACCTGGGATAATAGAGCAGGAATTTGAACCTGCTTCTCCCACATCCCAGGTGAGTACCCTAACCACCAGGCTACTGGCTATTCTGTTTTCTCTGCCCCTCAGCTCCAGTCCCATCCATTCATCCTTGGTCTGAGGAACCTCTCCTTACAAAAGTTTTGTTGAAACTGGTATGTACTTGCAAAAAGTTCTGTTTCAACCTGATTACATAAGAGTTACTGACTCTTGGTCTAAACTCTTATTGTGGGCATAATGAAACTACATATCTACTTTTGTCTAAGGAAATATTCTTGCCGTATCATTGATCTACTTCACTAGTCACCAGAAATGCCTTCCCCAAATCATCCATGAGTCCTCTCGTATTCAGAGGAAACACTGTTAGAAACCGTGCCAACAAAAATTCCAGCCCCCAAAATTTATTTATTTAATCAAAGCCTTCTGAACTCATTTTTTGTATACCGAATGCTCTCACAGTAATTGATTCACGGTGCTGATAATTACACTGGATTCACGCCCAGGCAAATGAATCAGCATCCCCTATTACCTACAACACAATGAGAGATACAAATTCTACCAGTTATAGATTCACCTTGAACAAAACTCTTCAGCCAAATGACCAATGAGTAATAAGCCTGTACCTGTTATGCCTATCTCATAGTTGCTCATGAAAGTTCCACCAAAGAAGTCCATCATTTAGTTTCCAGTGGCAAGGGTACCAGAAACATACATGGCATTTATAGTGAAGAATAAATGAAAAAATCGTGAACCATTTTAAGAAAAATGAAACAACCCACGTATACTCAAAAGTTTGTTGGCTACACCATCAGAAAAATAATCGTGACAAAATAATAATACGTAATCTTACCATTGATGATTGGTGGCATCGAAAGAATGACACCGTTGCTATCGTAGATAACTGGATAAAGTGGTTTGTTTTCAATTATGTGTAAATAATGCTTAAGTTGGCTGTCAGTCTGGAGAAATAAAGCACAAGTTGAATTTCACATTATCTTAATCATGAACCATCATCATATGACATAATCCCTCAACTGTAGCATTAACAGGAGTTTTGCCTGAGTAAAGGATTAGGCTAACAGATATTACTTCACTACAGAAAGTTGTTTAAAAAAGCAAGAAGCCAAGAAACAATTTTCTATTTTCTCATTTTAACACTAACTTCAAAATATTACTTCTTAATCTATGAGTAGGAGGATCACAGCCACACTATCTTACTCAAGCCAAACACTGTGATTGTTCATCGTAAAGGAACTTCCATTTCTTGTCCTAAGCACAGAGCACTAAGCATGCTAAAGTAACTGTCCCAGCTTTACAGCAATTGGTCTTAAAGGTGGCAAAAGTTGGCTGCAGAACAATAAAGAAAAGAAAATATTCTAGTCTCTTAGTACTGATGGGTTTACACTGAAATGCTCTCCAGCATCTGATCCAAATGATTTCATGTTAAAAGAGCCATGATATCGGGGGTAAGGGGGGGGGGGTGGTTTTATTTTAAATATAAACATCTGTTGCCAGAACATGAAACATATTCTACTAGACAATGCAGTTTTCTTCTGTGTATTCCTTCTAGCCTCTCTATTCCTCCTTGCTTGTTCTCTCCTTCAGTGTCCTGTCACATCAGTTTAGATAGAGCATATTGGGGCTCTCTTTACTTGCTATGAAAAACTTGTGTCTCCCATGGTGCTTTATAGAAAGACAACACTTTGAACACTTCCATATTAGAAAAGTTACTATTTAAAAACAGACTTGATATGACTTCTTCCTACTAATCATCGACCCACACATGGGGTTCTTTTAATTGTGGAGGGGAGCCAAGAATGGCATCTTGTTAAGCTTGAGCACTTTAAATAGCCACCCTCTCCTGCTACAGCCAGGCGAATATTTCAACATCTTCTGCAAATACATGATCAAATAATAAAAAAAAAAAACTGCATTTGCTTCAGCTGTGCGTTCACCCTTCATGTGTTCAGTTTCCTGTCAGTAAGCTCATTCCTAGAATATTCATGGGATGTTCCAGAACCATGAGCATTAAGGCAAGATGTTCATGGAAAGCAGTCTTTGTGTTGATAAATGTGACTATTTGCATCAGAAGCCTGACTCCAAGAGTTACGTTTATCCAAAAACCAATACCATGTGATTTACATGGGTAATAAAAACTGAACAGCACAGCACAATTTTGAATATCAAATACAACCAAATGCTCATGAACAATTCAAAGACCAACGGTGAAATACTCGCTCCATTAGACTCAATTGCAAAACTCCCATTGACTTCAATGGGGCCGGATTTCACCCCAAGAGCTAGTTGCAGAAATTAGGTGAGTAATGTCAAATAATATGAAAGAAACGTAAGTTGCTCAATTCAAAACAACTGTAAGGAGTCCAATGGAGAAAGGCTAAATTATTTCAATCAATCAGTCAATCACGCCGTATTATACATCACAACAGTAAAAAGATGTACTATTCTCAGGGTTTGTTTTTTAAAAAGGTAAAATCCAGATATGCTCTATTAGTGATAAGAATTCATCACACTGAATTAAAAAAACAAACACCCTCATTCTATTTTTATTACAATTTCTATCGCAACAAAATTTAAAACCAGTTCCACCAACATATGAGGCTGATACTTTGTTCACTATATTTTGGTGAGCACACACAGGAATTTTAAGGTACTTTTGTGACAACTGGAGGACCTTTATTTTGTTCCATGAAAACAAATGGAGCATATTAAGGTGGAACTAAAAAAAAGGCAGCTGAATACACCAGTTATAATCCTTCAAATCAAATATTTGTCGTATTTCATACAACTATCTCCAGGACTGAGATAACGGGGTATGGAGCCTTTTAGCTAGTACACCATTTCACATTTAGCTCTGTGTACATTAGACTGTGATCTCACATCAGCAGTAAACAAAAGTTACCTGTTCATATGTCTGTTTGGTGCTCTGCATAAAATGAACTTGTGGTCTAGTTCCAGTTCCTAGTGGAGAGGTGGCCACAACATAAAATTACCACCACTATTGGCAATATCTGCAGAGGTGCCAATCCCAAGTCTTGCAATCCCTCTAGAAATTGAGATTTCAGCACTGCATGTGAAGAGTTTGGAAAGGACACCTACCCTATATAGATCCATAATTTCAGAAGCAGTATACTCCTTGGACTGATTCAGGGGCTTGAATCTAATTTCTGAAGGAGGTCTAGCTGTATAAGTAAATGGACCAGAGATTGTGTCCAGGTCATGGGTACCAATCGCTACTAACGCTCTTTTCCTACAAAGGAAACAAGGCAAAACAACAATGACTTTTCTACAGGTATTTGGAGTTCATTTGAGGTCATGTCCTCTGAGGCAGTACAGTCTCAAACATGCACATAGCTAATTGTTGAAGCAGAATAGCAATTTTTACAAATGTGGAAGCACATAGAGGTAGTAGCATTCTGACTCCAGTATGCATGGTACATTGGCTTTGTAACAACACACACAACAGTCAAATGTAAATCTAATGGGACTGTGGCAGAGAGTTTACTCAAGAGGCTTCTTCCACTACTTATCTAGCAGACGTCACTCCCTTATGGCGAAATGCATTGAGAATTGCCAGTATCAAGCAAGACAAATGAAGAATGTCAAAGAGCATTGCTGAAAAATATTTATCTAAACATGAGTGTAAACATAACATCTCTTTGGAAAAGTGAACAGCAGTCCACATCAAGAATAAAATTAAATATTTCACAATAAAAAATATTAAGCCAACCTAAATGGTGATGTACCATATGCTTTATTCTCACTGGATTTAAAAACTAACCTGCAGATGTTCTGATGTAGTTTTTCTTGTAGGTCAATGAAACTATCATAGCGATCCTTGGAAAAAGTTATGTTACGAAGGACTGCAGCTACAGCATGAGGACGAACTTGGGCAGTCTACAATTTATAAGAGCGGTACAGTTACAAATGATAAAAATTTCATATATGCAGAATTTATAAAATTACATTCTCACATTGAAACAATGTGCATCTTGAACTTTTTGAAGTGCTTAACACTTGCTTATAAAGATGTATACTACAATGGAAAATGCACAAAGAGTACCCATATCCTCAAAGGAAATAGTTTACTTTTAGTTTGGTAAAGGAAAGAGGATTTTCTCTACAGAGACTACAGCTTCAGAAAACCATCAGAGATGCACAGGTATGAATTTTCCTGAAATAACATGGTTATCCTTTACGAAGTTTGTTATCCTTTATGAAATAATTTGTATAGTATTCCCATATCAGCTACAATGTAGACCACTATTTACAATGTACATCACTGAATGGAGAAAACATTTAAACTTCTATTGCATAGGAAATAAGTTGTAGCCTTAGTCTGACTAAAATTTAAAACAAACTCAGTTATTACAACAAAAAGTCCTGTGGCACCTTATAGATTAACACGAGGTCAACAACCTCTGGCACGCGGCTCGCCAGAGTAAGCACCCTGGCGGGCCGGGCCAGTTTGTTTACCTGCCGCATTGGCAGGTTTGGCCGATCGCGGCTCCCACTGGCCGCGGTTCGCCGCTCCAGGCCAATGGGGGCTACGGGAAGCGGCACGGGCCAACGGGATGTGTTGGCCGTGGCTTCCCACAGCCCCCATTGGCCTGGAGCGGCGAACCGCGGCCAGTAGGAGCCGCGATCGGCCGAACCTGCCGACGTGGCAGGTAAACAAACTGGCCCGGCCCGCCATGCGTCTGATGAAGAGGGTATTCACCCACGAAAGCTTATGCTCCAATACATCTGTTAGTCTATAAGGTGCCACAGGACTCTTTGTTGCTTTTTACAGATCCAGACTAACACGGCTCCCCTCGGATACTCAGTTATTACAGAGTATGTTTGATGGTGATGAAGCTTTCAAGATACAGACAAAGATTCAGCAAATAATTTCACCTCTTCAGTAATAATCAGCCTTTGAACGTCACTATTCGCTGGCATAATCCTTTTGTATCTAGGGGCCTTTATCCTAAAACAAAAATGGAAATAAAAAGTTTACAACTGAGGGTGAAACATTCTTCCAAAAAGAGCACAAGGAGGAAACATTAGAAAAGTGTCAATGCGCTTTATGGTGAAAATGTTATCAATTTTATTAGCATTTAAAATTCTGTAAAAACTGTTAACATATATGTAAAGTTTCCTACTAACTTAAGTATAGTTTACTATGAAATATATATGCTCAAAAAGACAACTCCACTGCAGTCAAAGATTCCTAAAAAAACCTCAGACTTAAAGAAAACAAGAACACACCTGTAGAAAACTGGTTCTGTCACAGGGAATTCGATCCTGAGCACCCTCAACTTCCACTATCTTCAAGCAGAAGTGAGGGCACTTAGCACCTTGCTGGATCAATCCCAGGTTGTCTAACCAGATCAATCATTAATGTTAATGGTAATTACTTACACAGAAAATTTCAGAGAAATCGAGAATTGAGAAAAGAGAAAATTTTGATAACATTATATATTATTTCAATAACAATATCAACAATAAATAAATAAATAAATAAATAAAATAACAATCTTAAAGACCTCCTTTAGGAAATTAGGAGAAGGAATCATCACTGTCATTCTCAGACTATGCATATCACACAGAGTTGCCTTCTACTCTGTGAAAGAGTACTGCTGTGAGCCTCCCCGGACAAAATTTGCTGGAGCGTAGAAAACATTTTGGCAATTACAGTGAAGTTATAGATCAGAGATCCCTCACAGGCCAAGCAAATAGCACTTTGCTTATAAACATTAAGCAGATGATTAATAAATGTATGAGTTTAGCCTAATCAAATACTGAAGTATAAAAACCTCACAGTGCTAGAGTACCTTTCTTTAAAGACCTGAAGCCCTCGGACCAATCCTTCCAGACAAAGAAGATCATATCGGTTAGCAGGAACATCGATTTTATAGAGAATGATATCTGATGCACCCTCTGCCTTTCCATCACCTTGTTCTTTGCTTATTATGTCCTTCTCAGATGTCTACAATTAAACGAAAACTGAGTCACTAATAATGGAGTAAATGAGCATTGAAGGTGCTTAGAAAATAGCATAATTTTAAATGTAAAAAAATAAATAGTATTAATTAACAAATGTGGTTTAAAGGGCATAATGTGGGTTTATATGTGAAATGGGTGCTTAAAGCATCAGAAACTGTACAAACTGAACTACCTAATTGTACTATCTCTCAGATTCAGAAGTCTTAATACAATAACCCAAAGGAATATTTATTATTGGAAACAAAGACTAGCCCAGGCACAAGTGGCTAGGCTAGTAGATCCCAGTACAGAATTAGGCCTTATTATTTCTTCCATTTTGGCTGTAAATCAGTATCCCATCAGTAATGTCTGAAGTCTATTCTGAAATAGAGCATACAAGAAAAGAACCTTTGAATACATATAAATAATCTGATTAGAAGATTAACAATCACTTCAGACTAAACCAGAAATTAAAAAAACACCAATACAATATCAGATTCAGTTTGACTCTGCAAAGATGTGGGTGCCAGTACTAGAAAATTCTGATGCAGGATCAAGACCTCAACCACTACTTTTCAGTCACTATATAAAATGCCCAAAACACTAAGTTTTTGTGGAAGTTGTACAACCTTGCATAAAAAAATAAAGCCAAAGTAGAGTTTGTAAAGTATTTGCAACACAGAGCTACCAACATTAGAAGTTCTTGGTCACTACAGCAGAACAGTAGTGTCTTCTACACTACTTATGATGTTCAGAGAGAAGGCTCTTTTACTGGTGGAGGGCAGCTAAACTGCCGAAGACACAGCAGACTGGTCCCCTCTATCAAAACAGAACTGCACTCAATCCCCCACAGCCAAAGGGCTAAAGACAAATGTAAATGTGATAAATGACAACATATTACTTACAATTTCATCAAGCTCCAGACCAAACTCAAAGCAAAGTTCATCAACTTCTTCATCAGCTAGGAAGAAAGAAAAAAACATTCTGGTTTCCAATAAACAGACCTCAGCTTCTGAAGACAACTCAGAAAAAAAGTCCTGAATAGAATACTAAATGCTATTTGCAAGGAGGACTAGGGGGGAGATCATTGTGAATTTTATCTTTACTTTTATTTTAGTAACACTTTCTGCTATACGTATTGTATTTCTTAAATTCATAGCAAAAGATTTAGAACACAATATATCAGTGTTAGTATTGAGTACAATTGGTTGTACCATTAGCTTTTTTTCAGGTTAGTCTCCACACCATATAACTGTCATAAACATACAGCTACGGGTAGCATAAAATCCCTCTTTACCCTGTAAAGGGTTAATTTCTCTTTTACCTGTAAAGGGTTAAGAAGCTCAGATAACCTGGAGGGTCCCTTTTTCATTGTTCTTAAAATCCAAGGGTTTGGGTCTGTGTTCACCTTTACCAATTGGTGAGGATATTATTCTCAAGCCTCCCCAGGAAAGTAGAGAGGCTTGGGGAGATATTTGGGGAAGCTAGGGCTCAAAGTGGCCCTCCCTGAATGTTTGTTTAAATCACTTGGTGGTGGCAGCAATACTAAAGCGAGAAAAAAAATTGTGCCTTGGGAAAGTTTTTAACCTAAGCTGGTAAAAATAAGCTTAGGGGGTCTTTCATGCGGGTCCCCACATCTATACCCCAGAGTTCAAAGTGGGGAAGGAACCTTAACAATAACAGAACAGGAACACATCACATCAGCAAAAGAACAGACAAGCCCATGAGAAGCAGTGCACTAGCATCAACAATTACCTTCTCATTCAATCAGCTGGGTATAAATTAGGATGCATAACTCACCTTATGATTTATGGAGAGGTCTAGTCTGCCAGAGAAATTGGGGAAAAGGAAGGGCTGTGGGAAAAGGTAATTTGGCTAAGCTGTTTTATCTGCCAGGTTTACCTATCTTCCCTAATTTTTTAAACATGTATTTCAGAGTCCATCAACTATTACAATGAAAAAAAGAATCCAGAACTCAGGGTTCAGAAGCCAAGCAATTTAAAAACTGCTTTCCCCAATATGCTGTTTTAAAATTAGATTGTAATTTTTAAGTGTATACCTATATTTTATCAGTAAGTAGGACTCAAATAGCATGTATGTGCACACAGAACCCGAAAAATCCACCAAGCCACAGCAAGCAAGAAGTTTTCCCAATCAAATGCTATGAACGTCTGAAGAACCCAAGCTTTGATTAAAAGCGTTTTTAGCCCTTATGGCTGTGCAAACACACTTCCACATGGGCATTAAGTGTAAGTTATTGCAGTGATGTCTAAGCCTATCTACCGCCCAGGGCCGGCTCAAAAAAGCCACCCGCTGCCCACCCCAGCACGGCAGGGGAGGGCGCCGAGCCGGGCCGCGGGCCCGCAATCCCCGACCGGCCGGAGCGCCGGGGGGAGGGCAGCGAGCCCACCGCGGCTCTGCTCTCCCCGGCAGCCAGAGCGCCGGGAGGAGGGCGGCGAGTCTGCCGCGGCTCTCCACTCTCCCTGACTGGCTGGATCACCGGGGGGAGGGCGGCGAGCCCGGCCGGGGCTCTCCGCTCTCCCCGGCGGCCAGAGTGCCGGGGGAGAGGGCGGAGAGCCCACGGTGGCCAGAGCGCCGGGGGGAGGGCGGCGAGCCCGCTGCAGCTCTCTGCTCTCCCCGACTGGCCGGAGCGCCACGGGGAGGGCGGCGAGCCCAGTCGCGGCCCCGCTCTCGGGCCGGAGCGCCGCGTCG